TTTAAAAATCTTTAAAAATTAGGAAAAAATACCAAAACTCTTGGGCATGCTTATATATGCATATATATGCTATTTTTGAAAGTATTTTGTATATAAAAATTATATAGGGAAAAATTGGGTATCAACACCCATAAACTCAAAAGTCATATATGAGGAACAACCTGGGGACTAGAGATCCTATAAACAAGTTCAACGGGAAGAACGAATCATATGATGACTTGGTTCGAAATGCACTGTTATATTTGTTATTGTTCCATCCCTATGGTGTGTGTGCATTTATCCTGTAACGATTTGCGAGGTTGAGTTTTTTATTAACTCTTTGTAACGACTCGACGATTCATTTTGAGAGTTAAAGCCCTGATCCCCTATTAACTGCTTCCCCCGTATCTATTTCTTCTATTTTGACTTGCTGGGAGGTTTCGTTTTGGTTTTTGGAGTGTTTTGGGAGACTTAGTCTCTAAACGGAGGCTTAAGTCTTAGAATTTGGACCGTAGTCGTAACTGTGTGAAGATGACTCCGGTATGGGATTCCGCCAATTTTGTTAGCTCCGTTGGGTGATTGTAGGGTTAGGGGCGTGTCTGGATTTTGTTTTCAAGGTCCGTCGCTCATTTAGGCTTGAAATGACGAAAGTCGAATTTTTGGAGATTTGGACCGGTGGTGGAATTTTTGATATCGGGGTCGAATTCCAATTCCGGAAGTTGGAGTAGATCCGTAGTGTTGAATATGACTTGTGTGAAAAATTTGGGGTCAATCGTACGTGGTTTGGTTGGTTTCGGCATCGGTTGTCGAATTTAAAATTTCAAGTTCGTTAAGTTTAGATTCGAGGGCGATTTATGTTTTTAGCGTTGCTGATGTGATTTGAGGGCTCAACTAAGTTCGTATGGTATTTTAGAATTGGTTGGTATGTTTGGTTGAGGTCCCGGGGGCCTCGGGTGTGTTTCGGATGCTCAACGGGTCATTTTTTGACATAGAGAAGTAGCAGATTTTCTGGTTTTTGGTTGCAGAGATTTCTTTCATCACGTTCGCGAGAGGAGTCTCGCGTTCGCATAGGCCATCTGAGAGGCCAACTGAGTTTACTCTTCGCGTTCGCGACGTTGATCCCGCGTTCGCGAAGGTATGGAACACTAAGGCTACGTGTTCGTGATGAGGACCTCGCGTTCGCGTAGAGTCAACAGTCAGATGGGTTCCAGGCATAATAGCCTACGCGTTCGTGAAGGGTCAGGCTTGTTGAGCTTCGCGTTCGCAACTGATGCATCGCGTTTGCGATGAGTATTTTTTTGGACCGAAGCAGCTTGTGCTTCGTGAACGCGAGGCTTTGACCGCGTTTGCGAAGAAGGGCGTACCTGGGCAGAATTTAAAGTTAAAAAACGAGGGTTTTGAGTTCATATCACAAAATTGGATTGAGAGCTCGGTAGAAGGCGAAATCTCGAGAGATTTTCAGAGGAAGTTATTGGGTAATAATTTCTGACTCCTTTGTGGTTATATCCCACTAATCTATGCTTGATTTCATCGTTTGATTTTGGATTTGGGGTGAAAAATTGGAAAAAGTTCTTAGGCCGAATTTTGGGATTTTGATCGAGATTTTGGTATCGGATTGGAGTAATTGGTACGAGTGATCTCGTGAGTGAATGAGTGTTCATAATTGGTAACTTTTACCCGATTCTGAGACGTGGGCCCGGGGAGAATTTTTGGTCGATTTTCAAATTTCTTGTCTCAGCTTTGATTTCACTAGTTAGATTAGTTTCTTGTAGGTATATTTATGTTATATAATTGGTTTTGGCTATATTTGGGCCATTCGGAGTCAGATATTCGTGGAAAGAGCATTGCGGCGGATTGATTTGAGCTTGCTTCGAGGTAAGTGTCTTGCTTAACCTTGTGTGGGGGAACTCCCATTAGGATTTGGTACTATTTGATATATGAGTGCCGCGTACGTGAGGTGACGAGTGTGTACACGGGATATTTGTTGAAAAACTCCTTTTTCATTAAGTAAAATATCTGTTTTCCTTTAACCGAGCTACACTAGCATATGTAATTATCCTGTTTAGTTTAGGACAGCATGTCTACGCATCTTAACTGCTTATCTGAACTCTGTGCAGCATGCTTAGTGAAATTTCTTGCTTCTTCATTGACTTTTGCTTAGTCTAAATTGTAGGATTTCCATGTTGTAGTTGTAATTCTATTGTTTGAGCTGTATATTTACTTTGGGACTACAGAACGGTATTCCGGGAGATCCCCCTGTACTACATTTTACATTGGGACTACAGAACAGTATTTCGAGACATCCCCCAGCACTGCATATGTACTTTGGGACTACAGAACGGTATTTCGGGAGATCCCCCTGCACATTTACGTTTGGGACTACGGGACGGTATCTTGGGAGATCCCCTGTTGTTATCCTTGTATTCTGAGCTGTTGTTCTTCTATGCTTATATTCTTGTTAAATTTCAGTATTTATTCTTACTGCGATATTTCTTTCTGTTAAATTTTATTATATATAAACCAATAGGGCCCTGACCTGATCTCGTCACTACTCGACCGAGGTTAGGCTTGGCACTTATTGGGTACCATTGTGGTGTACTCATGCCCTTTCCTACACATGTTTTCCGTGTGCAGATCCAGGTTCATCTTACCAGCCTCATCACTAGTTGGAGTCGTTGCTGCTTATTGGAGACTTCAAGGTACTTCTCCTGCGCCTGCTGATCCTCGGAGTCCCCCTCTATCCCCCTAGGTTCATTTTTCCTTCTTTATGTGGAAATGATGTATAGAACAGTTAAGACTCCTTAGTAGCTTGTGACTTAGGGTAATCCGGGTTTTGGGAACTACTTGGTATATTTTAGAGGTGTTAATTGTATAGGCCGAGTGGCATTCAGTTGCTTATTAGATATTCGTTACTGTTGGTAGTTAATGTTCATGCCTTTATTTTATTGCCGCAAAGTATTAGGCTTACCTAGTCGTAGAGATTAGGTGCCATCACGACAACCCACGGAGGGAGAAAATGGATCGTGACACTCTTAATGAAAGTTTGTAGCTCGTATGAGTGGGGTGTTAGAGTTACAGGAGCACCCTTGACAGATTTAACCTATGTGAGTGTGGAAGTAGGCCGCTTCCTATGAGAATTGGGCTTATTCGAAAAAAACACTCATAAAAATCAGGAACACAAGGCTGTAATGTGCTGGCTTATAAAGTTCATGTCAACACCTTGATTATTATGTGCAAGCAGTGATACTTTATTTCCCTAAAACAGTCATAGTTGAAGTCTGAGATCACTACTAACTCTGGAGTAGAGATTGTTGTTTTACTAAGTGGAGGTTCAATGTAGAGCACTCCTTCATTATGCATAATAGTCTCCCTTCAACTGGTAAATTAAACTCTCGTATTTTAATATTAAAATGAGTGGGGGATGATGGTGTTAGTGCATTTTATTATTAAAATTATACTATTAAAGAGCATTATTTCTTGTGAGATAGTGGTTATAAATTGGCAAGAAAGTGGTCATTACTTTGTTGTAACGCATGAAATCACTAATGCCATGATCTACCACTAATTACCCACTAAAAATTAAATTTTATAACCACCAACCATGTTCTACTATTTTGTTATCCCACTATCTTACTATTTATTTCAAGGAAGAGATTCTACACCTATAAATAATGGTGTTTCTTTCTTGTGCTGTAAATGAAAAAATATGATAGTGTGTTCAGAAAAAGTGACTTGGTGTAGTGAAAAAGAGAGTTATGAGAAGGAGAAAATCTAAGTCTCCAACTTATTTTCTCTATAAAAGAGAATATTATTTTTTTTAAGGAAGATGTTCATTTTTGGTGGAGCTTTGGACTCAACAACTTGTCCAGAGTTTATTCGAGTTATACAACATTGTCGGGCTGTTGTATCCTGGAGGGGACAAGTCAAGAGTATTACTGCTGGACCGGTGAAGATGCTACCGTAGTGGGCTTGAATCTCCTTAAAGAGAGCGAGATATCCTTGCCTCAGCCTGAAGAATAAATATTCTTCTTCATATTATTTTTCAACTGTAATTACTTATAATTTCACCTGCATAAAGTATTTGTCACATCTTCATCCCTTTAATAATGTCTCCCTTTTGGTATATCAATGCTTTAGCAGGATTTGTTTAGGAATATATACAATCTTTTTGCTCTAATTCTGGTCCCCTTAATCACAATAATTCAGTGAAAAATCCACAAGCTAATGGTCCCAAATATACATCTCGGGGCATTATTAAACTTGAACGCTTTAAGCAGGGTTCGATTTAAAAAAAAAAAAAAACAAAAGTTAGGACATTATAACATTCAAATCGAATTGTATATATCATCCTACCTAATTCTTATGACTAAGGACTTAAATATACCAACAGCTATAATATGCATTTTGATAAGTGATAAGTATCCCCCACTATTATCTTTATCATCAGAACACTGATATCCATTTGATTGTCCTTCCATGTATTAAAATAAGATTAACTTTAGATGTCGAAATGCAACTAAAAGTAGATGGAATATTGCCTCAAATCATTGTAGTTGTGATCAATATTCATGTGAAAGTTACTAGGAAGATATCACTCAATTATTTTTCATGACAAAAATTTGACCAACCAAATTACTCACTTATAGCTGAAGTATCTCATAAGAATAGACGTTCAAGAAAATCATGACATGTCATATCATTTTATTTGTTCTACTTCTTTTTAAGGACATACTCTGATACGACAAAAGAGAAATATAGCTGACATGAATAGCAGTTTAATTTAGTCCAATCAAGTAAAAAAATTATTCTAGAACAAAAAAGTTAAAGATTTTGAAATAGCAATTGAACTTTCTGTATTGAAAGGACAGTCGAACGCACAAAGCATCCCCCGTCACGCTGGGTCCGGGAAAGGGTCGTATTTCAAGTGGTGTGATGTAGACAACCTAACCTAATACAAGCATTTGGCTACTCTTACGGCTCGAATTCGTGACCTATAGATCATACTAAAACAACTTTACCTATAGCAATTGAACTTTCTGCATTCTGACTTTATAATTGAATATAAGTGTTCCTTACATGAAAAAAGGGGCTTAACAAATTGCATATCCTTCACAAACAAAAAGTGCCCTAATGCAAGACTTATCTTCAGCAGAAAGTGAGCACTTTAACAAAAGTACTATAGAGGCCAAAGTTAACAAAAGTACTATAGAAGCCAAAGTGTTACATGCACTATAGCTGCTATTATTGATTTTTAGGCTCCTGTTTCCTTCCCATCACCTTTTAGCCAACCTTTTCAGTCTTGTTTTGAGGATATAGGAAGGAATCTTGAAAAAAGGATGGGTTAGAGTAAAAAGTGAGATCTAATATACAAAAGCTAAAGAGCATCAAAAGAAAGCAATTTACCCAAGTAAGAAGCAAGGAGAAGAAGTTCTATCCACATGCACAAGATGTGCCTTATTTATTTACCACCTGCCAATGTCAAAGTAAACCGGATCAATTATTAAATTTATAAACTCATTCCACATGTGCCAACAAAAAAAAATACTATTCCCTCCGTTCTAATTTAAGTGAACCTGTTTGACTGGGCACGGAGTTTAAGAAAAAATGAAGACTTTTGGAATTTGTGATCCTAAACAAATCAAAAGGGGGCCCAGAGTATTTTGTGGTTATAAAAGCTTCTCATTAAGGGTAGAACTGTAAGTTTAAGCTAAATTGTTACCAAATTTAGAAAGGGTTCATGCTTTTTGGACGGACCAAAAAGGAAATAGGTTCACATAAATTAAAAGGACTACTTATTTTGCTGGAAAATGCCCTTCAAATCAATTGTCGGGAGAATTCCGCACTTCTCCTGATTGATTGTTTTACAGTGAAGGGCTTTTTTTTTCTATTAATGAATACAAAAATACGACCTTAGTATTAAAAGAAGAACTAGCAAGGGTATGTGCGAAGTTGTCAATTATAAAATTGGACTGACACAGTTTTAATGAAATGACATAGACAATAATGATCTATATAGCCAACCTCAACTTGTTTCGACCGCAGAATAAATATAAAAGCCGTTATATTTATTCATTGCACCTTTAACAAGTGGTATATGAAGTATAAAGGTGGATGAGCATGATCAAGATAAAAAAAAGAGACTAATTACCTTTCTTTTCACAAAGCTTATTTAGAACCGAAAGGAAAACAATGAGGACAGCAACACCAGCTATAAGCCCAATTGTAATTGCAAGTGTCTTTTCAACATCTTCATCTCCTGCAATTATATATGGCTAGACTTAGGGAAGAATAATCTCTCTATATATTGATATAAAAGGTCAAATAAAGCTGATTTACAACTTAGTCAATGTAAGGTTAACAAAATAACTAGTATTTGTTAAAAACTACTCCCTCCGTTCCAGTTTATGTGAATCTATTTCCTTTTTAGTTCGTTCCAAAAATAATGACCCCTTTCTAAATTTGAAAACAATTTGGCTTAAACTTACAATTCTATCCTTAATAAGAATCTTTTATAACCATACAAATACTATGGGCCACTTTCTGACTTGTTTAGGACCACAAATTCCAAAAGTCTTTATTTTTTCTTAAACTCCGTGCCCAATCAAATAGGTTCACATAAATTGAAACAGAGGGAGTACTTCATATTGATGGAAATCTCACGTTTATCAACATAAAAAATATATTTTTTAGACGGTGGGTTGTAGTACAACGCTTTGACGTGCACATGCACGAAGGTCCGGGTAGCAAGTTACTTGATATACCCTTTTCTTTTAAAAAATTAAGTTAATATCGTGTGGCTATAGAAACACATATTAGATATCAACTAATTACCTATTCAATATGCATTTTGTATCAACGTCTATTTCCATTCTAGAGTTTAGTCATTCATATACTTGAATTTCGTGTTAACTTCACCTGCTCTCATTCTCCTACACACTAGCTTGAACCAAAACTTAAATTATGAGTGGCATGGAATTTTCGTTTGCAATAGTGAAATTTCCCAATATATGAAAGAGTGACCAAATTTTCTTTGTCATGACTTCTGAGACTAAACTTCGTGGAAGTTCTCTTGCATTTGGAAAATAACAAAAGGCCATATGCAGGGACTGTTTGAAGCTTTCCTAGAAATAAGGTAATCTCTCCGAGCCAAGAAGGATGATATTTTTTTAATTTCAAGAGTTAAATAAGTTATTTTTTGATCGCGATTTTTTCATATGCATTTTTAAATATTTTAAATTATTATTATTATGACAACTTTTTATGTAATTTTTAAATATGTAAATTCTACTTTTTTTTTAAAAAAAAAACTCCAAGATTCTATGTCTGAATTTTTTTTAATCAAAATTAAGAAATATGACTCGAAATTCGAAAAGTATCATCCTTTTTGGGAATATATAGAGTTGCATTTACATTGATAATAGTAACATGTAACAGGTGTGCTATGCTATTGATTATTTTTTCGAACGATATCTAACCCTTAAACTATGATTACGTGATTATGCAATTAATTTATGCTTAGCGTACGAATCACCAAGGTTAATTACCTAATGATATCCACAATTAAAGGTGGAAGTGAACGGTTCTTTAGTTCTAAAAAAGCTTTACAAACAAATTATAATGAGATGAAAAGATTAAATATTTCTATGCATTCTTTTTTGGTAGTGATCATGATCAAGAAGAAGGAATCAGGCACTTCCTCAAACCATGAGAAAAAGCTCTTACCATTATGATGTTTGTTGGTCTTTGATAAAAAGGAAGAAGCCAAGAACAGTAACACATACTTTTTCTTCACTTTTACAAAATTTGAAACTTATGTGAGTATAATGCAAATAAAGCAAAAAGGACATACAGAAAAGACTTTCTTCCCACCTCACCTCTATCATTAATATACTGAGCACGGAGTTTAAGAAAAAATAAAGATTTTTGAAATTTATAGTCCTAAATAAGTTAAAAAGGGATCCAGTGTATTTGTGTGGTTATAAAAGCTTCTCTTTAAGGGTAGAATTGTAAGTTTAAGCTAAATTATTTTCAAATGTAAAGGGGTCATTCTTTCCAGAACGAATCAAACAGGAAATAGGTTCACATAAACCGAAAAGAAGGAGGGAGTAATTTATAACCTAAGAGAAGAGAACTGATCCATCTAGACTCTAGTAACCATCTATGATCTATTTGACCCCCCCCCCCCCCCAACCCCCAACCAACCCAACCCACACACCCTTCTACTACATTTACAAAAACAAATTTAATTAGAGTTGGATTAAATCACCTTACACCTATCATAATTACTCATCCAAAATAAAAATAAAAAGAGGAAACCTTTGTCCCTCCCAATAACGGTTGAATTGCCAAGAAATAATCTCTATGTCAGCAAAATTTTGTCAAATCCAAACATCAAATCTTAACTTAATATTTTACAATATTTACTTAAAAAGAATAAACTAGTCTATCATACATCCTCATTTTCAATTTCTAACTACAATGAACTTAAATAAAAGAAGATAATCAAGAGCCATTTCCCCAAAAGTTCGAGTGTCTAATGAGAATCTTTATCATGTGTTCAGGCGCTCGATTCAAACACGCCTTAGTACGAATATGTATAAATGAAATATGCATGCAAGTTTAAGAGGCTCTCAATATATTCCGCCAAAAAAGAAAAGAAATTGAAAAAATTGATTAAACTACCATGGACTTAAAAGCAATTTAACAATTTTTCCTGACCATATGCATGAAAACTTCGCATAATTCAAATTTACCAGTTGCCACAGAGAAGGGAAAAAAAAAGAAAAAAAATAAAACTAATTAAACCACTTAGGATTTCATGATATCAAATTTTAACTAACATGAACCACACAAACAGAAAGCAAAAAACCATGCACCACCGCCACCAGTCATGGTGGTGGAGAAGCTTACCGCTTTTAGAAGTGAATCCACGCTCCGAGAATCGCGCGTAGCACTTGGTCAAAAACATATCTCCCCAAGGTGAGGACCCACACTCATTTTTCAGCTGTCTGATCGCCTCCGATAAGCAATCTTCACACTCGCTCACACTCAAATCTTGCGTACACTGCGCCACAGCCTGAACTTTCCCCGACCCGCCAACTCTAAAATATTGACCCTGTGGCACAGCACCTAAATACGTTAAAACGGCGTCGTTTCTAGTCAACATCTCATTATCATCCATAATCGACGGTCCACATTTGTGCATGACAACACCTTTGTCTTCCACACCAAGAAAAGAAACATTATCGTACTTCACGAAACACCCGTCTAACTGCAACGCGCCGCCGCACGTGGTGGTGCAGAGTGTCCCGACTCTGCTTACCGCCGTAGCCACGCATTTCCGACAGTCGGAGTTTCCCAAGTCGCCTCGGCACTGAAAGAGGCCGTAAACGACGTCGTTTTGACTTGAACCAGGTAGAGAAATCTTGAAGTTGTTGAAATTTGCGTAAGATGCTGAGTTGACTAGTGAAGTGAGGAGCGAGTTAACGTTTGACTCGTAAACTGTACCAGGATTGTATTTCTGTTGTGAACATCCGCCATAAACAAAGGATTGTGTAGAAGCATTAGATTGGTACGTGAAAAACAAGAATATCATTATCATATAAACAAGAAGAACATGAAGAGAAAATTCTTTGACATACAGCTTCATGTTTATTTTTTCTTCTTGTTTTTTGAAGTGATGGGCAGTGTTAAATATATTTTTATATGTGATTAAAGTTAAAGGGGTATGGGAAATGGACCAAGGGTCTATATATATAGGAGGACGAGTATAATTGAGGCATGAAAAAAGAAGAGAAAAATGAAAGTCTTTGGCGTTTGGTATAGTGAGGGGCTACAGATATGGAAACAGTTTTTATGGACAGAGAAAAATAATACAGTGTAGTTGTGCTTTTGTTTATTAGAAGTAGTGTTTGCAAAGGCATTTTCTCATTTTGGCTTCTAATGCTTTTTCTCGTGGCTTTCATTTTTGTACGTACATATAGGTGAATGATGGAGATATACCATAAATGTCACGACCCGGATTTTCCACCCTCGGAGTCGTGATGGCACCTACTAATGCGAGCTAGGCAAGCCAACTAATAGCACAAATTATCTTTTTTACCCATTTTATATTCATTAACAATTTCGAAGTAATAGCATTAAAACGGCGGAAGTTAACATAAGCGAAAGAAAACAAACAACTATCTGAACATAAATACCTAGTACAACTGTTTGAGTCTCGACTACCCAGAACTGGTGTCACAGTATCATAGACGGCCTAAGAATACTACAAATAAAGGTCTGAAAGAAATAAATACAACATTGTCTCTGGAAATACATGAAAGAAACAGGAATAGTAGATGGAAGGAGACGCCAAGACCTACGGACGCCAGCAGGACTACCTCGGGTCGCTTGATGAACAGGAATCAGCAATCCCACTGCGATCCAAAGTCTACAACACTGGGGTCTGCACAAAAGAGTGCAGAGTGTAGTATCAGCACAACCGACCCCATGTGCTGGTAAGTGCTAGCCTAACCTCGGCGAAGTAGTGACGAGGCTAGGACCAGACTATCAAATAAACCTGTGCAGTTGTATATTATACAGCGAAAAGTAAAGCAGAAATAAACAAATGAAGATGGGAGGAGGAAACATGCTTCGGGGAATGACAGGTAGAAACAGAATATCAAGAGAACTATAAAGGAATCAAAACCCAACCACTAACAAGAATAAGGAAAACAAAGGCAGAGTTCACTTTCTTTTCACATTTTTGTTGCAGGCGTGCAACCCGATCCCATTTCCTGTATCTCGTGGTAGGCATACCACCCGCTCCCATTTCATTATACCTCCTGGTAGGCGTACGACCCGCTCCCATTTTATTATATCTCGTGGTAGGCGTACCACCCGCTCCCATTTCATTATATCTCGTGGTAGGCGTATCACCCGCTCCCATATAATATTGTTGCGGCGTGCAACCCGATCCATATATAATATTGTTGCGGCGTGCAACCCGTATCCATATATAATATTGTTGCGGCGTGTAACCCGATCCATATATAATATTGTTGCGGCGTGCAACCCGATCCATATATAATATTTACAATTATAACGAGAGTCCCGACAAGGGATCAAAAGGTCTACCCTATCCCGGCAAGGGAAAAACAGCTATAACCAAACTTGTTACAACACCTAACTACCTCAGCTATACCCAAACTGGTTACAACACCTAACTACCTCAGCTATACCCAAACTGGTTACAAAACCTAACTACCTCAGCTATACCCATAATCCTTACCTAACACAAGGAATCATCAACCTAAGTATCTGTAATATCAATTAAGAACACAATACAAGGGAACCACAACTCAACAATAGCCCGACAAGGGGCAACATAATGATCTCTTCTCTTTCTCACTTTTACTTCACAACTCGAACCAATGCTCTAGAGTTTCAATTATCACTTATACTTTCACAATTCGCTATACAACTGGAGCCAACGCTCCTCAATGTTCATAGGTCACAATTCTTTCCACAACTTTACACAACAAATATAAATCTTCACCAAGGCGTGAATAATACAACGAAGTCATGAAAAAACCACAATATAAGACTCATGGTCATACTTGACACCAATGTATATATACTCGTCACCATACCTATACGTCGTACTCAACAAGAAGCAAATAGCAAATAGGACACAACTCCTAATCCCTCAAGCTAAGGTTAGACCAAACACTTACCTCGATGCCTCGAACATAATTCACGATTCAATTATAGCTTTACCCCTTGATTCCACCACCAATTCGCTCGTATAATTGATTTGGAGAAGAAGGAATTCTTAAAAAATCGCCTAAGTGCGTTTGTGTTTGAGAGAATATGAAAAATAGGGTTTAAAATCGGCTAAGTATAAAACTGCAGGTCTTAGATGTGGGAATTGCGAACAGGGGTTCGCAATTGCGAACCAACCTCTGCTGGCTTGGGAATTGCGAAAAAAGTTTGGGAAATGCAAACAATCCTGGGAATTGCGAAAAATGTTTGGGAAATGCGAACCTGGGAATTGCGAAGAAAGTTTGGGAAATGCGAACAGGCCTGGTAGTTGCGAAAAATGTTTGGGAAATGCGAATCTGGGAATTGCGAAGAAAGTTTGGGAAATGCGAAGTCTGCAGGCTTGCAATTCCTTAAGTCCAAAATTTCACCCCGTGGCCTATCCAAAACTCACCCGAGCCCTCGGGGCTCCAAACCAAATATACACACAACCTCAAAAACATCATACGGACTTATTCGTTTACTCAAATCACCAAAATAACATCATGAACATCGAATTAGACCTCAAGATCAATGAAATTTCTCAAAACTTCTTTAAACATCAAATTTGCATTTAAGGTCCGAATCACGTCAAATGATATTCGTTTTTCATCAAATTTCACAGAAACATCTTAAATCATATACAAGACCTGTACCGAGCGCCGGAACTAAAATACAGGCCCGATACCATCATGTTTTAATCAAGTTTCATTTCAAAACCTTATAAAAAATTTTAGAAAATAATTTATTTCAAAAATTCATTTCTCGGGCTTGGGACCTCGAAATTCGATTCCGGGCATACGCCCAAGTCCCATATTTTCCTACGGACCCTCCGGGACCGTCAAATCACGGGTACGAGTCCGTTTACCCAAAATGTTGACCAAGGTCAAATTAATTCATTTTATAGTCAAAACTTATCATTTTTCACACAGTTTCTCATTCAAGCTTTTCGGCTACGCGCTCGGACTGTGCACGCAAATCGAGGTGACTCCGAATGATGTTTTCAAGGCCTCGGAGTCATAGAATTTAATTTAAAACAAGTGATGACCGTTTGGGTCATCACATTCTCTACCTCTAAAACAATCGTTCGTCCTCGAACGGACAAAAGAAGGAAGTACTTGAATCGGGGAAAAGATGGGGATAACGGGTCCGCATATCAGACTCGGACTCCCAGGTTGATGCTTCAGCTCTCCACTGAACACGAACAGAAGGAAAACTCTTCGATCTCAACTGACGAATCTACTGGTCTAGAATAGCTACCGGCTCCTCCTCATAAGACAAGTCCTTGTCCAACTGGACAGTGCTGAAATCTAACACGTGGGATGGATCGCCGTGATACCTCCGAAGCATGGACACATGAAACACTGGATGCACGGCTGATAAGCTCGGCGGCAATGCAAGTCTATAAGCCACCTCTCCCACTCGATCAAGAATCTTAAATGGACCAATGAATCTAGGGCTAAGCTTGCCCTTCTTCCCAAATCTCATCACGCCCTTCATAGGAGACACTCGGAGCAATACCCGCTCACTGACCATAAAAGCCACATCTTGAACCTTGCGGTCCGCATAACTCTTTTGCCTGGACTGAGCTGAACGAAGCCTATCCTGAACGATCCTGACCTTGTCCAAGGCATCCTGGACCAAATCCGTACCCAACAACCGAGCCTCTCCCGGCTCAAATCATCCAATCGGAGACCGACACCGCCTACCATACAAGGCCTCATAAGGAGCCATCTGGATACTCGACTGGTAGCTGTTGTTGTAGGCAAACTCTGCTAAAGGCAAAACTGATCCCACGAGCCTCTAAAGTCAATGACACACTTGGAGCATATCCTCCAAAATCTGAATGGTCTGCTCAGACTGCTCGTCCGTTTGAGGATGAAACGCTGTGCTCAACTCTCGCTGAACTGCCCTCCAGAAGCGTGAGGTAAACTGCGTACCTCGGTCCGAAATGACAGACACGGGCACACCATGAAGGCGAACAATCTCCCGGATATAGATCTCAGCTAACCTCTCAGAAGAATAGGAGACTGCCACAGGAATGAAATGCGCTGACTTGGTCAGCCTATCAACAATGACTCATACTACGTCGAACTTCTTCCGAGTCTGCGGGAGTCCAGTAACAAAGTCCATAGTGATCCGCTCTCACTTCCACTCGGGAAGCTCAATCCTCTGAAATGGACCACCGGGCCTCTAATGCTCGTACTTGACCTGCTGACAATTCAAACACCGAGCCACATATGCAACGATGTCCTTCTTATTCTCCGCCACCAATAACGCTGCCGCAATTTTGATACATCTTCGCGGCGCCCGGTTGAATAGAGTACCGGGAGCTATGGGCCTCCTCTAAGATCAACTCCCGAAGCCCATCTACATAAGGCACACAAACTCGACCCTGCAATCTCAAGACTCCATCATCATCTAAGGTAACCTGCTTGGCACCTCCGCGCTGCACCGTGTCCCTAAGGACACACAAATGGGGGTCATCATACTGCCGATCATGGATACGCTCCAATAATGAAGAACGAGCAACTGTGCAAGCTAACACACGGCTGGGCTCAGAAACATCCAATCTCACGAACTGATTGGCTAAAGCCTGAACATCCAAAGCAAGCGGTCTCTCACCGACCGAAATATAAGCAAGACTGCCCATACTGGCTGATTTCCTACTCAAAGCATCGGCCACTACATTGGCCTTTCCCGGATGATATAAGATGGTGATATCATAATCCTTCAACAACTCCAACCACCTCCTCTGCCTTAAATTCAACTCCTTTTTCTTGAACCAATACTGAAGACTCTTGTGATTCGTGAACACCTCACATGCCACGCCATACAGATAATGCCTCAAAATCTTCAATGCGTGAACAATGGCTGCTAACTCCAAATAATGAACCGGATAGTTCTTCTCATGAATCTTCAACTGTCGCGAAGCATAGGCAATGACCTTGCCATCCTGCATCAACGCTGCACCAAGTCCAATACGAGAAGCATCACAAAAAACTATATAAGGCCCTGAACCTGTGGGCAGAACCAACACCGGTGCCGTAGTTAGAGCTGTCTTGAGCT